CCCCCCCTTAACAGAGCGAACCCCCCGCCTGCGGCTGTGGGGGTGAGTCAGAGTGACAGCTCCCGAAATGTGCCAGGCCCTTCCCGGGCACCCCCACGCGCCTCCGGCCCTGCCCCTGCGCGCACTGCGCCGTGGGGACAGAACAGAGAGTTCAGAAAAAATATTGGCAAAGTTAGCAGGCGGAGAACTCCTCATTGCTTCTCCCTGAACGTTTTCCCTTTTTTAGACGTGGTCATTGACTCTCCCTTAGAGCTCCATCAGTCAAAGGAAACCCAGGCCCTTCCCGGGCACCCCCACGCGCCTCCGGCCCTGCCCCTGCGCGCACTGCGCCGTGGGGACAGAACAGAGAGTTCAGAAAAAATATTGGCAAAGTTAGCAGGCGGAGAACTCCTCATTGCTTCTCCCTGAACGTTTTCCCTTTTTTAGACGTGGTCATTGACTCTCCCTTAGAGCTCCATCAGTCAAAGGAAACATGACATCTCTCGAGAAGAGAGGTGAGTTGTTTTTCCTTTACTCAAAACGATGTGCATGCTGGCAATTCTGTATTCACTTTGGAGGTGTTAAGGTGCAGAGCAGCAGTGTATGCTAGATGTAATGGAATAGTTCCGGGGGGGAGGGGAGAATTGTGGGGGGGTTTATTGTTGCAGAGATACAACTTCCACCCAATAAGTTTTCTTTTGCCTTTGAATCTAGTTCAGATCAAACTAGAACAGTAACAATTAAAAGTTATAGAGATGTAGCCGTGTTAGTCTGGTGTAGCTGATTAAAAGTTACTACTCTTTCATGGCTTGAGATGATGGTCTTCATCTAGTTCCTACCAGATAGATGTCTAGCATTTACTTGGCTCCCTTGTTTTTATTACATAGAATAATGAATTAAGTACAGGTTGGACCTCCTTGGTCCAGTAACTTTGGGACCTGACCTGTACAAATGAGGGGAGGTTCCTCTCTTCATAGCCCAGGGGCAGCACAGGCCAAGACTCCAGCCTGGCCCCTGCTGTGCTCCCGCCCCTTGGGGCTCTCTAGCTGCTGCCCACCTCCCTGCTGCCAGGACTGGAGCACAATCACCGGAGCACCGCAGCTGGGGCCAGGGCCAGAGCTCCCTAGCTGCCACCAGAGCTGGCACAGCCACCTGGCTCTTCAATAGGAGCTGGAACTCCAAACCAGGGCTGGGGGATCAAAGCCAGAGCTCCCTTGCTGCTGGTGGGGCCAAAAATCTAGTGCTGCTGCCAATCTGGAGCTCTGTGCTGCACTGCTCACCTTGTCCCCACCCCTAACACAGGGCTTGCAGTTGAGTCGCTGCACCCCTTGCACTATGTTCCTTGCTTGCTGCCAGACCGCCCTGTTCCTGTGCTCTGTGGTCCAGGTACATCCATGGTCCTGGTGGACCAGAGAGTCCCCATTTAGGGAGATACAGCCTAGGGCTGTAATTGACTAGTCAACTATCTGATAAGCATAAGCTCTATCAGAGAGAGGCAGCAAGGCGGGGGGGTTGGGACTGGAGTAGGAGCCAGTGCTGGGGGGCGGGGAGGTAGAGGCACAACGGGAAACAGCGCAAGTGAGGGCTAAAGCAGTCTCCGCTCATGCTGCTTCTGCTGCGATTCTGATTTTGAAATGTATGAGAGCCCTGCTGGAGGGGGGAGGACTTCCCCCGCTGGCCCCACGCTCCCTGCTGACTTCTGCTTTTGAATTATAGCAAGAACCCAACAAGGCTCTTGGTACAGTTCAAAGGTAGAGGCACCCTTATAGACTAATCAAATAGTTGATGAAAATCCCATCAACTATTCGATTAATTAATCTAAATTTAACAACCTGAGTACAACCTGCATTAAGACACTCCCCCTCCCTCTCCCCTTCTGCAAACAGACCTGCAAAAGTACATTTTTGTGCTCGCATTTTGCAGGCCATGTACCTAACTGCAAAAACTAGGAAATTGAAAATGAAGGATTCTCACTCTGTCCTTACGTCACACGGGAGTAGTGAGGCAAAGCAAAATGCATATGATCTGGGCAACAATGCTAAGAAATCAATCTCTTTTGCTCCTTAATGGACATGGTTTACTGGGAATACTCTAGATCCTTAAGGATTTTATTATTTTAAAATGTTTCCCACAGAAATTCGATCTATTGTATTTTAACTCCAGCTACATTATTCACATAGGTGGAGTTGTGTATCTTAGGTTGAATTTCTCCTTGTGGCTATGTCTATACTACCAGGTTATTTAAAAAAAAAGTTACTTCAAAATAACTATTTCAAAATAATCTTATTCCTCTTCACAAGGAGGAGTTATTTCAAAATAACAAGCCCATTATTTCAAAATAACAGGCTTGGTAGAATGAACTCTCACCTTGTTTCAAAATAAAGAGGGATATTTCAAAATAACTCCCCAGTGTAGACATGCCTTAAATGTAGACCTGGCCTAATACTTTTCAGCAGTGAAAAAGTGACATTCTCTTGGCTTTGAAGTCAAGATTCACAGTTCATATAGATGTCCTGCAAAAGGGCTGCTGTTGACATTTTTATAGTCTTGTGTGTGCAATGAGCATGTAAATATAAGTAAAACTTTAAAAAGGGGGGGGCCCTCCTGATCAGACAAGTTATTAGGTTTTGTATTGCTGACTTTACTGATTCACAAACACGCTTATT